AAAATCAGTGTATAAAGAGTGGAAAGTGTGGTAGGCTGATAATAGCTCCCCAAAATAGATTTACATCCTCATCCCCAGAACCTGTGAACATTACCTTTTTTGGTGGGGAGAGCCTTTGCAGATGTGTTTAAGGATTTTGAAATGACATTACTATTCTGGCTTATCCAAGTGGGCTCAAAATGTCATCCTATAAGCTCTGGGTTTGGAAGATCCCCTGTAGTAGAAAATGGCAACCCACTCCATTATTCTTGCCTGGAAAATTCCACAGAAAGAAGAGCCTGATGGCCTATGGACCACAGGGTTGCAGAGAGCCAGACATGACTGAGCACTCATGCACACACATGCCCTTGTAAGAGAGAGGCAAAGGAATATTAAGCTCACATACAGAAGGGAAGGTAATATGCACATGGAGACAGAACTTGGAGTGATGCAGGTAAGGAATGCTGGAAGCTGTAAGAAGTCAAAGAGACAAGGAAGATGTGTCTCTTGAGATCCTCCACAGGGAAGACAGCCCTGCTGACTCCTTGATTTTGGATTTATGGCCTCCAAAACAGTGAGAATAAACTTCTGTTGCTTTGAGCTACCTAGTTTGTTATAATAATCACAGAAATTAATACAAGAAGAAAGGTATAAAACTGTCTCTTTGTGTAGAAGACATGACTGTTTATGGAGAAAATCCCTCCAAAACAACAAACTCCTGAAGCTACTAAGTGAGTTTACCAAGGTTGCATGATATAAGTTTAATATACAAAGGTTTGTTTCTTTCCTATTTACTGTAATGGACAATTGGAATTTGAAATTTAAGAAAAACTGTTTACCATAGCAATCCATAATTGAAATAAGTGTAATCTAATCTAATAACATATACCCTTGATTACATGCATATTTGTTAGATTACCAAATGACACCAATTGCTAATGAAGATACAGAGCAACAGGAACTCATTCATTACTGTTAGGAATGAAAAATGGTATAACTACTTTGCAGGATAATTTGGCAGTTTTTTCAAGGCTAAATATGGTCTTAGTGTAAAAACTAGCAATTGCTCTCCTTGTTATTTACTCAACTGATTTGAAAATTGTTTATGTGCACACAAAGACCTGTTTATGAATGTTTATAGCAACTTTATTCATAATTGCCAGAAGTGAAAACAACTAAGATATCCTTTGTTAGATGAATGGATAAACAAATGGTGGAACAACCATGTAACAGAATACTATTTGTCAATAAAAAGAAGTGAACTATGAAGTCATAATCTACAACAATAGGAAGTGATTATTAATATGTACCCTTGATCCCTTGATAGCCTCTCTTCTGAGATGCTTAAAAGAATTTAGATGATATCCAATATTGTTTTTTTAAAAAATAATTTATTTATTTTTTGCTCTGCTGGGTCTTCATTGCTGTGCAGGCTTTTCTCTAGCTGCAGAGAGTGTGGGGCTACTCTTCATTGTAGCTCATGGGCTTCTCATTGCAGTGGCTTCATAGGCTCTAGGGCGTGCGAGCTTCAGTAGTTGCAGTTCCTGGGCTTGAGAGCACAGTCTCAATGATTGTGATGCACGGGCTTAGTTGCTCCTCAACATGTGAGATCTTCCTGGAACAGGTATTGAACCTGTGTCTCCTGCACTGGCAGGCCGATTCTTAACCACTGAGCCACCAGGAAGCCTTGTATCCGATATGGTACCCAAAGTCTTCTAGTGAATCAGTAGACACTGACACCTATTAGGAAAACACATCTTGGTATCAGTATGAATCTTTGGTGATGTTCTTTTACATCTCTTTTCTGGCTTTCATTTCTTCTCTCTGCTTGTTATTTCTGATATTGTAGGGGTCAGGTATTGGTTCTGTAGTCCCATTCATTCGTCCATTCATTCATTCATTCATCAACTTAGCACATGCCTACTTCAGGGCCTTTGCACTTGCTTTTCCCCTCCTTGTGATGGGAAATCTTTTCAAAGATTCCTTTCATCAGTCTCTGGATTTCACTCATCTGAAATACTTTTATGATGACATTTAATTACAGCTATCTCCTCCCACCTCCATCACTCTCTTGCTCATTACATTGCATTACTTTTCTTCATCGCACTTACCTCCACCTGGCCTTTATTCATTCAGTCAGTTCAGTCACTCAGTCGTGTCTGACTCTCTGTGACCCCATGGGGGTCTGCAGGGAGGACTGCAGCATGCCAGGCCTCCCTATCCATCACCAGTTCCTGGAGTTTACTCAGACTCATGTCCATTGAGTCGGTGATGCCATCCAACCATCTCATCCTCTGTCGTTCCCTTCTCCCACTACCTTCAATCTTTCCCAGGATCAGGGTCTTTTCAAATGAGTCAGTTCTTTGCATCAGGTGGCCTTCATTATGTGTTTATTTATTTATTGTCTTTTTCTTCTTGAGAATCTAGTCACAAGGGCAGGAACTTTGTTTTGTGTACCGATCTGTTCCCAGCAGGTAGGACAAAATGCAGCCCTTAGTAAACTCCCAGTAAATACTTCTTGAATGAATACAGGCATGACAGGCACATCTCCATTTCTTCCAGTGGGCCTTCAGGCCCCAAGGAAAGAAAGTTTCTGATGACCTGATGGGGTAGATCAGAATTCTCTTAGTTCTTACACAGATTGCAGCCCTACCTAGGTCCCTGCTCCTTTTCAGTTTGTATAATATTGATAATTTTCAGAATCCTTTCACAGAGACTGTCTCTTTTGATTACTTCTATAACACTATGAGGCAAGTAAGAATTTCCAGACATATTTTATAAATGAGAAAAAGTGAGGTGATGGAATTTGCAAGGTAAATGTCAGCCAGAGTTAGAAACCAGATCTCCTGACTTCTGGCTTATCAAGTGATTACATGGGATTTATGTTGCATCTCCACCTGCTCCCTGAATGTATGCTTTTGAGGGAAGGAGCTTGAATGATTTGTGTTTATATTTTCTGCTGTGCCTTTCACACTGTGCTTACTCAAGGAGTGTTGATTTGAACTTATATATCCACAGAGTCGTCCTGGAAGGTTGCCTTGTGCCCTTGAAGCTAGAGGGGGACGTCTTGGCCACTTCTTTCCTCTACTTCTTTTGACCACCTTGATGGGCCTTGGGAAAATCTCAGAAATTAGATTAGAAATGATTTCATGGATTCCATGGGCGTGGGCCATAAATTGCCCAGGAATCATCTGGGAACCTAGTTTCTATTCAGGTTATGATTTAGTTGGTTCAGTGTAGGATCCGAGGGTCTGCGTTTTTAACAAGCTCTCTGGTAGTGCCTGTGATGCTGAGCTGTGGTCCACAGAACAGTTTGAGGGTAGATTACCACATGGAGGATGGACCCTGTGTCTGACTGTGTGACCCTCACTAAGTTTTTTGGAGGCACTGTAGCACATGGGTTAAATTCTATTGCTTTGGTTAGAATTCTTCCTCCCCTACTTTACTGTTTGACCTCAAGCAAGTTACTTTCCTTTCAGTTCAGTTCAGTCGCTCAGTTGTGTCTGACTCTGCGACCCCATGGACTGCAGCATGCCAGGCCTCCCTGTCCATCACCAACTCTGGGAGTTTACTCAAACTCATGTCCACTGAGTCAGTGATGCCATCCAACCATCTCATCCTCTGTCGTCCCCTTCTCCTCCCACCTTCAATCTTTCCCAGCATCAGGGTCTTTTCAAATGAGTCAGTTCTTCGCATCAGGTGGCCAAAGTATTGGAGTTTCAGCTTCAGCATCAGTCCTTCCAATGAATATTCAGGACTGATTTCCTTTAGGATAGACTGGTTGGATCTCCTTGTAGTCCAAGGGACTTTCAAGAGTCTTCTCCAACACCACAGATCAAAAGCATCAATTCTTTGATGCTCAGCTTTCTTTATAGTCCATCTCTCACATCTGTACATAACTACTGAAAAAACCATAGCCTTGACTAGATGGACTTTGTTGGCAAAGTAATGTCTCTGCTTTTTAATATGCTGTCTAGATTGGTCATAACTTTCCTTCCAAGGAGTAAGCGTCTTTTAATTTCCTGGCTGCAGTCACCATTTCCTCCTTAAAAATTGGGATCATATTAGTACTTAACGCATACAGTTATTGTGAGGATTGAGTCAATACTTGTAAATCACTAGAATAGTGCATGGTACCCAGAGCTCAGTGACTCTTAACTATTACTCTCCTCTCTTTGTCTCCTTGTGCTATTTTGTTAAACTGCATCAATAGGTTGAAGGTACATTCGAGAGACAAGAAGTTGTTTAAAATATTTGCAAGTTGAAAATAGGTGGTGTCTTTCATGAAAGTCACAGTCTAGTTGGAAGACAGCTTTTGTTAAGAAACAATGCAATAGACATCAGCTAGTGATGATTCTTCTTGTATTGTCACAGCCGTTCTGTGCACTTTTTACTGCACTTAAGAAGATGAGGGGAAAATGAGTAGGCCCTCCAGTTTTGTAGTAGTGTGATGATATATGATGCTAAGCATAGGGCAAAAAATTGTTTCTATTTCTCTTAGTTTTCCATTAAATAAACCAACTTGGTTTTAGTTGATGATATGGAAATGTAGAGGCAAGAACCCTAGGGGTCTGGAAGAATCCATTTGGTGCCTAATTTAATTCATTTTATAGTAAGAGGAGCTTGGGAGACTCAGGAGACATGGGTTAGATCCCTGGGTTGGGAAGATCTCCTGGAGCAGGGAATGGCAACACACTCCAGTATTCTTGCCTTGAGAATCCCATGGACAGAGAAGCCTGGTGGTCTACGGTCCCTGGGGTCACAAAGAGTCAGACATGACTTAGTGACTGAGCATATACAGAAAGTAAGAAGAGAAAATATATGGACAGAATGACTTTAAAGAGAGATTTTGTTTTAGTTTTTCAAATAATTGATGAAAAATAAATTCCTCAGGGGAAAAAAGGTACACGACTTGCTCCTTCCACCGACTCAAAAGTGAAAAAAAAAAGTAAGTGTTTTAATTAATAAATTTAAAAAATTGATATGGAGTTTTTCTTCCCTTTTTTTTTTTTTTTTTTTAGGATCAGATTTTATTAAGACCTCTACGGGAAAAGAAACAGTAAATGCTACCTTTCCAGTAGCTATAGTTATGCTTCGGGCCATTAGAGATTTCTTCTGGAAAACTGGAAACAAGGTATTTTATTGCCAGCAAATCTTTCTTCCTTCGGAGTAAAGATGATGTTATTTATAATACTAGTCACAGCCACGATAGCTGTCTTTATATGCAGATGCTGTGAATGCATTCCCGTTATTAAGATAAACGTTTAATTTACCTTTCATGACAAAAGAATATATTCGTGGGGAAAGAATGTGTGATTCACAGAAAAGTGAGGGTGAGTGAGGGAGTTAGTAGGTGTGATCAAGATGTAAACTCACTTTGCGTCCTTTTATTAACCGAAGACAATGTTATCACTGACAAGAGATTCCTAAATGGCTTCTTTAACGAACTAATTCTGCCACAACACAGAGGCTTTCTGCTAAGGCGTTGGCTGGCGAAAACAGGTTAATGCAGAAATTAAACTTCCTTGAGGAATGGAAAGAATTGCAGAGTAACATTTATTGAATGATAAGCTGTGGTGGTGATATGAAAAGTATGCAATATAATGGGAAATAATCTTTTCCTGTCATTATTGAAGGACACACATAAATTGGTTTTTCTGTTGGGAAACCCCCGGTCCAGAAAAACTTATTACTTTTAATAATATGAGGTGAAGAGAAAATTCTCGAGGAGATGAACTTATTAAACAAAATAATGAAATGCTGTGAAACAGCAGGGAAAAGGTAGCTAGACGTTATATAGCTCTTGAATTAAATATCCATTTTTGCGTTTTATGGCAGTCAGATGTGCTCTTTGGAAGACTGTTAAGCTGAGGAGGGTATATGCTCGCTTTTGTCAGCTTTTTGAAAAATAATACATATTTTTTGAAACATGAATTTAAAAGGAAAAAATGCGTATGAGGTGTTTTTTTAAAAAATGAGTTTGGATTTTCCTTTTCACTTCAAGTTGCTTGTTTAGCTGCAAATTATCTCAAAGGATTACTTTTTTTTTTTTACATCATGGGAGAGAAAGGTAATTTTTTTTTTTAAAATGAGACTTTGCCTTCACGAAAGGCATCTTTTAAAACCAATCTCTTGATGTCTGCTGAATAGAAACCCAAAAAAGAACTTTAATCCTTTGCCAGCTGGGATGTGATGACTTTATATGTGACTGTATTTCAGTTTATTTTGGAACTGGAGACCTTTCTTAGAAGGTACCTAGGTTTAAGAGGAGATGAGCTCCTTCCAGAATTTTCCCTTCAGAATACCTCTATATCTTAGAAGAGTACAAATAGGATAAATATCTACTGTGACCTACATAGGAAAGTTGACTTAACTTGAATAACCTCTTTTTGGTAGCCTTTCTGCAATGATCCAAATTTTAAAACAATTTTTTTTTTTTTAAAGAAAGGCTGTAAATATGAGAACTCTAGCTTTGGGACCCTCAAATGAGACCACCACCATTCACTAGACCTGGGGTTACTCGCAGCCAAAAAACATTCCAATAGATGCAAAGTTTTTTCTTTTTTTTTAATAATTTTTTGATGTGGGCCATTTTTTAAAAGTCTGTATTGAATATGTTGCAATATTGCTTCTGTTTTATTTTGATTTTTTGGCTGTGAGGCATATGGGATCTTAGCTCCCTGACCAAGGATTGAACCCTCAGCTCCTGCATTGGAAGGTGAAATCTTAACCACTGGACTGCCAGGGAAGTACTGATGTGAAGTTTTTTATACTTCCAAATGCCTGGGTCCTCACCCCTGGCAGCCCTGGGTCAGGGATAGTCCTCAGGCACCTCTATCTCTACGTTCATAAGCTCTATGATGTTGTTGTTTAGTTGCTCAGGGATGTTGAACTCTTTGCAAGCCCATGGACTGTATCCCACCAGGCTTCTCTGTGGGATTTCCCAGGCAAGAATACTGAAGTGGGTTGCCATTTCCTTTTCCAGATGATCTTCCTGGTCCAGGGATTGAACCTGTATCTCCTGCATTGGCAGGTGGATTTTTTACCATTGAGCTACCAGAGAAGCCCTTGTGAGCTGCACAGTTGGGGCTAAAATTCTCCACTGGGCACCCAGTCCTGTATTGTTTTTAACAAACATTCATTGATTCACTCATTGAGCCATTATATGAAAAGTGAACACGTCCCTTCCTGAAAGAACCCTTACACAAGAATTTCAATAAAAGTTTTAACTGTTCAATGATCTAGATCAGGGTAGAGAGGAAGGAACAGTTTGCTGTCTTTCATGACTTTCTTTTTAACTGTATTGCCCCTTTCCTTAGCTAATAAAGTTCATCCTGGTTTTACTAATAAGCAGGTAGAAGTCAGTTCATAGTCATCTAGATCACATTTGACTCACAAAGAAAGGACCTGGTGCAGATCAGGGGCATTTTCTCGAAGTGTTGACAAGCTGTCCGGGCAACCCTTAGACGGTGAAGCTTCCACACCATTGATTTAAGGGATGTTTTAAAATGTAATGGGTTGCCTTCCAGACCATGATTAGTGTCACTCTTGAGAAGCAGAGGTTTGATATTTCATAACCGATTTCATTGCAGATTTATGTTTTCCATATTCTCTCCCTTAAAAAGAGACAGGAAAAACTTATGCTAGAAACTATTTGAAAACATTGCCAAATAGACTTGCTGATACAACAGAATTATATAGAAAAATCTGTGTGCAGTACTGCCTAATTGACAGAAAATGCTCCTATGATTAACATGTATGCTAATATCAGCTCACTGATTTTTTTTTTTTTTTTGCCTTATCTCAATAAATAGCCTCACTCCACTTAGCTTCTCCCATCCTCACCTCCGCTTACTCTTACAAGGTCACCTGGGCTCCAGAGTGATAGGCAGATGTAGTTAGAATCTCTGCGTGGCTGTTGCTTAGCTGTGTGACATGTGACCGAGGCAGGGAAACCAGTGAGGGGACTTCTGCCGATGTTCTCGTGAGGACTGATGAGGGTCTGAACTAAACCAGTGGAACCAGAGTTGAGAGGAAAACGTGTGTGTATGTGGAGGGGGATTCAGAGGGTGGGCTTGTTGAGACGGACTGTTGGTCATTGGATGCGGTGCAGTGAGGAAAATGGGGGAGGCCAGTTTAGCTAGAAGTTTCCAGCTTGGGTTTGTTGACCTAAAGCAAGTAAACTACCAGCTATTTCTCCGGCAAAGATGGATTTATTGAGGATCAGTGAACATGGTGAGCCACATGCAACTCCCTGCAGGGCAGGGGAAGAAGAATGCTTGAGAGGAAAAGGAAGATGGGAGGGATAGTAAACAAGGAGTCTGGAACTATTCACGAACTGAGTCCTTGCCAGGAAAGAAGAGTCTCTCTTCTTCCTGTTATCTGGGAGTAAGAGCCCCCAACTCTATTTAATTGAGGTTTCCTTTTCTTTTTTAAAAAATGTATTTGGCTGCATTGGGTCTTAATTGCGGCATGGGGCATCTTTCCTTGTGGCGAATGAGCTCAGTAGTTGCAGAAACGCAGGATGTGGGGTCTTAGGATGAGGGATCAAAACCATGTCCCCTGCTTTAGAAGGTGGATTTTTAATGACAGGACCACCAGGGAAGTCCCTAATTGAGGTTTCTGTTTATTCATTTTTTTATAGGCTGATAATGGACCTTATACTTATTGTGTCCCTTCTCTGGCATTCTGTTAGCAACTCCCCCCACCACTCCCCATCACTGGTGCTCCCCAGCAGAGCAATCAAACTCTTGAGTGGTCAAATGTGTGAGCTTCAGTCCTTGGGCTTTGGGTATTTACTTTATTGGAGAGTCAAGTTCTTAAGAAAAGTATTTCTAGATAAGCAGGCTTTACTGTATATAGGGCACATCTATCCTTTTCTAATGGACTCAGGGACATCATTTGTAAACATCAGATACTGGCTGAATTGTGCTATTGGTGGTCACCTTCATAGACTGCTGAAGTGTGAAGGGCCCCTACACTGTCTTTTTCTCCTGTGCTTATTTAGCTGTTTGGCTGTTTTATGCAGCTCGGTCTACTGACAACTTAAAAGTCCCTGTAGTTAAGTTGATTAAAATAACTGTCCCCTTTCCTTGCTGGTTGCTGTGGTTTGGCTAGTATAGCCTCACTGATTCTTTCTTCTCATTTTAAACCCACGAATGTATCTTTTGCAGCTCAAATTGAAGGGCCAAAAGGTGTACATTTCCCGTGGCCTCCTGATAGAAATGGAGAATGAATGGGCTCTTGTGTTGTGTTTTCCTGTTTATTGACACCTCTCTTGTTATCCCAGGTTCACAACTATAGTCTAGATGGTTAAGGCTTATGGCTTTCCAGCAAGTGAAATGTTAATGAGGGTTATTAACTCTCATTAGTGTCTCCTTGGAAGCAGTGACATTCTTCCCATTAATCTCGGAAAAGTCATTTTGTCCTGTGAATGGGCTTGAGTCAGTGCTCTGAGTGCTGGGGGAAGTGAAATAGGCTTTAGAAAAGAGAGGATGGAGACCCTGTATTAAAGCAAGACCAGTTTTGAAAGCAACGCAGTAACAATACTAAGCATTGTTCTCTTTCCCATGTCCCCTTTCAGGTAGGCTTTAAACCGGCCGGAGGCATCCGCAGCGCGAAGGACTCCCTTGTGTGGCTCTCTCTCATAAAGGAGGAGCTGGGAGATGAGTGGATGAAGCCTGAACTCTTTCGAATAGGTGCCAGCACTCTGCTTGCCGACATTGAGAGGCAGGTGAGGAGCAGCAGCCTGCTGTCCTTGGAACACCTGACAAGTATTTTTAAGAAAGAAATAAAAAGTCACTTATTTAAAGAGGACTTACAGATGGACAACGGGCAAATGAAAAGTGCTCGACATCACTAATTGTTAGAGAAATGAGATCAAAACTACAGTGAGATATCACCTCACACTGGTTAGAATCAGTTAGGTTCAGTTCAGTCGCTCAGTCGTGTCCAGCTTTTTGCGACCCCATGGACTGCAGCAGGCCAGGCCTCTCTGTCCATCACCAGCTCCCGGAGTTTACTCAAACTCATGTCCATTGGGTTGGTGATGCCGTCCAATCATCTCATCCACTTTTGTCCCCTTCTATTTGCCATGAAGTGATGGGACCAGATACCATGATCTTAGTTTTCTGAATGTTGAGCTTTAAGCCAACTTTTTCACTCTCCTCTTTCCCTTTCATCAAGAGGCTCTTTAGTTCTTCTTTACTTTCTGCCATCAGGGTGGTGTCATCTGCATATCTGAGTTTATTGATATTTCTCCTGGCAGTTTTGATTCCAGCTTATGTTTCATCCAGCCCAGCATTTCTCATGGTTATTTAACTGCATAGAAGTTAAACAAGCAGGATGACAATATACAGCCTTGACTTATTCCTTTTCCTATTTGGAACCAGTCTGTTGTTCCATGTCTAGTTCTGACTGTTGCTTCCTGACCTGCATACAGATTTCTCAAGAGACAGGTCAGGTGGTCTGGTATTCCCACCTCTATCAGAATTTCCCACAATTTGTGGTGTTCCACACAGTCAAAGGCTTTGGTTTAGTCAATAAAGCAGAAATAGATGTTTTTCTGGAACTCTTTTGCTTTTTCGGTGATCCAACGGATGTTGGCAATTTGATCTCTGGTGGTTCTTCTGCCTTTTCTAAAACCAACTTGAACATCTGGAAGTTCATGGTTCATGTATTGCTGAAGCTTGGCTTGGAGAATTTTGAGCATTACTTTACTAGTGTGAGATGAGTGCAATTGTGCAGTAGTTTGAGCATTCTTTGGCCTTGCCTTTCTTTGGGATTGGAATGAAAACTGACCTTTTCCAATCCTGTGGCCACTGCCGCATTTTCCAAATGTGCTGGCATATTGAGTGCAGCACTTTCACAGTGTCATCTTTCAGGATTTGAAATAGCTTAACTGGAATTCCATCACCTCCACTAGTTTTGTTCATAGTGATGCTTCCTAAGGCCCACTTGACTTCGCGTTCCAGGATATCTGGCTCTAGGTGAGTGATCACACCATTGTGATTATCAGAGTCATAAAGATCTTTTTTGTGTAGTTCTTCTGTGTATTCTTGCCATCGTCAAAAATATCCATCATCAAAAAATCTACAAATAAATGCTGGAGAGGGTGTGGAGTAAAGGGAACCCTCCTAGCTGTTGGTGGGAATGTAAATTGGTGCAGCCACTGTGGAAAATCTTGTGGAGGTTCCTTAAAAAAGTAAAAATGGAACTACCACATGATCCAGCAATCCCACTCCAGGGCATTATATCCAGAGAAAACTCTAATTCAAAAACATACATGCACACTGATGTTCATAGCAGCCCTATTTACGGTAGCCAGGGCATGGAAGGAACCTAAATGTCCATTGAGAGAGGAATGGCAAAGAAGATGTGCATATATATATAACATGCAATAGAATATTATTCAGCCATTAAAAAAGCATGAAATAATGCTATTTGAAGCAATGTGGATGGACTTGGAGATTATTATACTTGGTGAAATAGGTCAGATAGAGAAGGACAAATATTTTATGAAATCACTTATATGTAGAATCTAAAAAAATAGTATAAATGAACCTATTTACAAAAGAAAAATAGTCTCACAACTGAGAAAACAAACTTTATTGTTTCTAAAGGGGAAAGGGGAGGTGGGGTAACTTAACGAGTTTGGGATTAACATACAAACTACTATACATGAAATGGGTTAGAAACTAGGATTTACTGTATAGCACAGTAAATCCTATGTTCAATATCTTGTAATAACCTATAATGGAAAATAATCTGAAAAAGAATATATTTGTTTGTCTGTGTATACATATATATAAATCACTATGCCGTGTGCCTGAAGCTAACACAGCATTATAAATCAACTTCAATTTTTTTTTTTTAAAAAAGCATTTATTGGACTGTGAGAACAAGAGATGAAAACTCAGCTCATTGACCTCATCATACCCCACTTGCCTTCTTCCAAGCAAACTTCACCTGAAGTAAAGTTGGAAGGATACTCTGCTGAAGTACATAACAGTGGGGCTTCATAATGAAATATTAACTAAAATCATTATGTAATAGTGTAATTATTAATTGATATGAGTAGGAATATAACAACTGGTGACTAAACTCTGTTTTCCCCACAGATTTACCATCATGTGACTGGAAGATATGCAGCCTACCATGACCTCCCCATGTCTTAGATCATCAACAAATTCCAAAAACATCCTTTGCAACAATGTGTAAAAATTATCTATGTGATTGCTAAAGTTATTTAATTAAAAAATGGGGGGATAGATAACTTCCCCCCCCCCCTTAAAATTTCCAGTGAATTTAGCTTAAAGAATGAATGGGGAAAAACCAACTAATCTACACATGGTCCCCATTTCAGGCATATCTGAAATGATCTGAATTAGTAGATCTCCAGGGTTAATTTTGCAGAGGTTTTCTTTTAAGAACTCTGAGTAAAATGTTAATGATAGCTTTGATAATGTTCAGTTCTAAGGAAGTGAATGTTGACTTGCCCAAGAATCACGATGTGGCAAAAGAAAATGAAGCACTGCGAACTTCTCTTGCTCTTCCAAACTACTTCAGGACTAATTTCCTAATCACTCAGCACGAATTTCCTGCCATGATAATTTGTCTTTAATTTTCGCAACAGATATGCTCTTTTACTAATTGTTTTACTAATGAAATATCTGTCATTTTATATAAAACTATGGATATCATTGAATATTTTTAATGAAAAAAATTCCTATTGTTTATTAAAAAAACTTTAAATTGTAGTAATACATGTTGAAAAGTTAATCTATTAAACTTGAAAAGAGATTTTATCAATGACTTTCTAAGTCTCTCTAGGAGAGTCCTTGTGTCTTTATCTAAACAAAGCACCCGTGTGCATTATTAACAAGTACCACTTACATCTTATATTCTGAAACTTTTTCCTGGTAGAGTGAATAGGAAAGAAACAGCAGACCCTAACAAAGTACGTAGTATGTGTGAAGCTCCTTATGTATATCAATTTACTGTAGCCTTTATTTAATCTCTTGGTACAGTAAGGTTAGTATAGTAAGGTTTTGAATGCTCACAACAGTCAGTATTGATGTTATCATCCTTTTATGCAGATGAGGGACTGAGGAACAGAGAGCTTAAGCAACTTGGCAAAGATCAAGAGCTCAGAATTAGCAGAGTCGAGAATCTATGCCGGGCAGGCCGGATGGCTCCTGAGTCTGCGTTGTCACCGCAGGCACATGACACTGTCCCCCGGCCCTCAGAGACACATAGCCAGAGCCCCCAGTCAGCTGTGGGGGACAGTAATCTGCTTTGGGGGCTACTGGTTCATTTACTCGTGGTCTCTCTCGGCTCCCCTCCTCCCACCTTTGTAGAAATTAAGTTTTCTTAAATGCTGATTTTCATGGAGAGCATCTTTTTGTCCTCCCTACACAAGTCTCCAGCTACTCATAAGTGCAGAACACTGGACTGGGAATTGGTTTTGGTTTTGGTTTTTTCTCTGCTGAATTCTAACCCCGCCTCTTCCTCTTTCTAGCTTTGTGCCCTTGGTCCTGTCTGTTCACATGTCTGAGCCTCAGTTTCTTCATCTGTAAGGTTAAAGGAGTTGGTGCAGGTGATACCAAGATTCGTTCAGAACTCAAATTATATTACCTTAAAGATAATGATAACACATCCAAGATAATGGTTTATGGCTATAAAGAGAAAACACTTTAGCAGCAACCTAAATTAGAATTTGCCTCTCAGAAGTCAATTAGGCACGTCACTCAAAGCACCTCTCCAACTGTGAATGAAATGATGAAAAATAAGAGTGGAGAAGAAATTCTGCTGTCCCCCACAGCTTAGCAGAGAGCAAACTTTTGACTTATGCCTCTGGATGTGGTCAGTGGCTCTGAATGCCATTTCCACCGTCATAGCATGCTGGTCCACATGCCCACCAGCACAATGGCCAGTCACCTTTGGAGAAGAAACTTTGCAGAAAAATAATTACATTCCCTCACCTCTGAAGCTATTTCAATTTCACAGGGGTTTCTGTTTTCCTCCCATTAAACCCAGCTGGTCATTTCAGTTGATCAAGTGAACAGGCATCATTATCTTCAATTCTAATTTATATGAGGCATCCACTGAAATTGACCTCTGCGGACAATTATAGATTCACATAGGAAATTAAGACTGGTGAGTCCCTCAAACGTATTAGAGGCTGATGAGCATGGCCTGATCTAAAGGTAAGTAATCATATATTTGGGAGGACAATTTATTCTAGGGACTGTTAGCCCCTTCATCAGGAATGTCTGCCCTTTACCTGGCTCTTGAAATCAAATGTACCACAGATGACTTCAATAGGAAAACACTAGTAAATGTGGATTGCCATGAACACATAAGAGGAAGAGATCATTTCTGAGGTGACCGTGATTTACTGCAAGCAGATTTGTGTACTTCGGGACAGAGGGAGCAGATGCTTTACACAATAAGCAGATGAGTCACTGTGTTCTGTATTTAAAGCTTGTAAGTTAATGAAAGCAACTCCTACCCCACCCTTACCCCTTCCTCTGTAAAAATTATTGCAGTTCAAGAAAACAGAATTTAAGCCTGAAAGATATTTTTAAACAAACAACCCATCATATCACTTAGGGGCTTAAGAAGACTTTAGAGAATATCTAGTTCTATCTTTTCATGAGAGAAAAAAAAAAAACTCCAAGTGGGAAAGTCAGTATTGCAAGATGATGCAGAAAATCAGAACTGAGCCCAGAACCTATTAATAGATCCACCTCACCCCATGAAATGCTTTACAGGACGTAGCCAGGGCTTTGGAATTAAATGTGTCTTACTTGTTCATACACTCTGCCATACCAAATAATTATGTTTGTCATCATGTGAATGTCAAACTTTTGAAAGATTCACATTAGTCTCTAGTCATCTAAATGGTATTGTAGAGAAGACCAACCCTCTAAATCTAAACCAAGTGATAGTGTGGTTATTTTTCCTTTTAAAAATATGTTGACGTGGATCATTTTAAAGTCTTCATTGAATTTGCTACAGTATTGCTTCCATTTTATGTTTTAGTTTTTTGTCTGTGAAGCATGTGAAATCTTAGCTCCCCAACCAGGTATCGAACCCACATCCCCTGTGTTGGAAAGTGAAGTCTTTAACCACTGGACCACCAGGGAAGTCCCTAGTGTGGCTTGTTTAATCTGTTGGACTTTCAGAATTTTGAGTGATCTCAAGAATTGATGTTTTTTTTTTTTTTTTTAAAAAGAAAGTTGAACATCGCTTTATTCTTGTTTTGCTTTTAAGAAGAAAAGAGGGGGCACTTGTTTAGATTCTAGCTTGTCTGCAAATGAAGAGAAAATGACAGTGTAATCACAAAAGAGATTTGTAATTACAGTATCTTTGCCTCATTCTGGAGTATTTTAGCACTAATGGGAAATTTAGGAAAATTAGTTTGCATGAACTGTAGCTTCTAAGGAGACCCGTGCAAAAGCAGAAACTGTTACAAATCTATCTGGAAGGCCATCATGACAGGGACAGTGGAGTCCCTGTCCGGATTGAGCAGAACAGTTGCTGTGTCATACCTATATATGTCTTAAACCAGATCTAGAGAAACCAAATCAGTTTCTTTGGAAGTCAATTTACACTTCTGGTACAGATGGAAACCAGCATTAATTTTTCTTCCTGAATCAATTGATCCTTTTTGGATACAACATAAGTAGGGCCAGACTGCAGAGTTAGAAGACAGAATTTTAATAGATCCTACTTTCAAAGGAAATGAAAAGTTATCCTGTTTGGGCACTAGGAACAAGGTATGAGGTGAAATCCATTTCTGCATTAGTTTTCCTGATTGGGCTCAAGAGTCTCGCTTCCCAAAGGAAAATGTCTATTTTATAACTGCCACCAAATGATCCTTTCCAGAAATGACTACAGGTAACATCTGGCTGATATATAAAATATGTAGTAAAAATAATCATTTTTAATTAACTAAACCCTGCTCAGGAGAGAGAGTCAGAGGATTATCCATCTGGTCAGTTCTCATTTAATAGGGCAAATGAGGATCAGAATGTTTCATCCAATATATACAGAATACTTAGTGACCTTACCATGAACTGAACTTTTTTTAGGAAGAGGAATGGGGTGAAGAGGAGGGATAAGAATATCTAGAAAGGACAGACCTAAGTTTGACTTTTTATTTTAAGAAGTACATCTCATACTATAAAACATAGGTAGAATATAAGAAACAGGTTTTTTGACATTAATTTCTATAGTTCAGTGACAGGAAATGCGTTTCCATTTAATTGAAGAGTCAAACGAGGTCATGTTTTACTCCATAGCTTGAAAGGGGTGATGAGTTTTTAAAAAGTATTAAATAAAGGTAAAAGGAACTGGGATTATTTAGCCTAAGGAGAAGATTGAAGAATAATTGAGGTCTAACAGTCCCAGGGAAAGATTCCATATGGGATCTTAGTAACCAAGAGTCCTGGAAAGGATCATTTGGTGGTGGTTGTCTGTTTTCCTTTGAGAAGCAAGACTCTTGAGCATGATGAGGAAAGCAAATGCAGAAATGGATTTCACCTCCTACATTTTTTTCTAGTGCTCCAAAGGGCGTAGCTTTTCATTTTTCCTCAGTGAAGAGGAACTGAATTTGTGCTGCATGTGAAGTTGTTAGTTTTAGAAAAGAACTCCTTTAATGCTCTGAAATGTGTAACTGAGAAGGTGCAACTTGCTATTTCATCCTCAGAATTTAATTCTCTGACTGGAGTGGGTTCGTTGTGCTGCCAAAGAAGGTGGTTCTCAAACTTTAGCGTAGAACACAAACACCAGGAGAGTTTATAACACAGAATTCTGGACCCCACCCCCAGAATTTCCAATTCAGTATAATTTTCATTCCAAGAAATTCTCAAGTGATGTTGATGCTCTGATCCTGGAACCCATTTTGAGAACCACTGTACTCAACACCTAGATTCCAACGTAAATGTATCCATGCAGTGGCAGACCTTTATCACAAGATGCCAGGATAAATGTGTATTTTTTACTGCTTTTCATAGCGGAGAACAAAAGGGAGAATGGAATAACATTATCTGTTAATCCCTTCACAGTAGGCAGTGAACTGGATCAACCTTTGGGCTTAGAAGTAAGCTTTGGAGCCCAGCATAAACATTTTAGATGAGTGTAGAATCATCCACAAAATCTTGCAAAGGAT